GCGAAACTCCACCCGCAGGTCGGGGTGGTGCTCATCTGGCGTCGCCACTGTCCCTCAGGCGAAGCAGATCAGCCCGGCCATCTCCAACTGGGGCTCGATGGCTTCCTTCCATGTGAGTATGTCGGGTCGACCAACGAGCGGCGGGGTGACCAAGATCCTGTCCGGCGTAAACTTGAAGTAGCTGTAGCTCGGTACAATCCCGCCCGCTGTCACGTGGGTCGCCGACATCGGTGACAATCCGCTTCGTCGACCTCCGACGTCGCCCTGCGAGGAGCCTGCAACCGCCGACGACTGCATCCCTCACGCCTGAACGCCGCCAACTTCATCGGCGTGAATCACACCTCGCTGCCTCGACGTGCCTCCCGCACTGCTGCCGACTTGGCCACCTCCGACGTTGACGCCCACGTCGACGCCGCCTTCGTTGGTCACCGGTCGAGGAGAATCCGGTCGAGAAGGGGGATGCTCCGTCGCCCACATGGTGTGGAGTCCAGCCTCGACGACCGCCCAGGGTATCGCCCCGTACTCCTGGGCCTCATGGCGTCTCCTCGCATCCTCTAGCCGTCCCTCCAGGGTGTCCATCACCTCTGTATCACCTACGCACACGATAGGGACAGTACGGCTGCCGGCCCACGAGCAACTTAGGTAAGTGACCACTGCCAGGGCCTCAGATTCGTTTTTAGCTTGGCTGAGACGTCAGCCTTAGCAGGCTACGCTAGGCTGATCAATCAGAGTTGGTTCAAAAAAAAAATCTGAAATTTCAGACAAGTCACCTAAAAAAACGCTGACTAATCAGCCTCACTAAAAAACGCAGGCTGATCTATGTTTAAGCACTTTGTTCATTAAGTTTAGCAGGTGCTGTGCTGTGCTGCCCTGGTGGTTGGTGAATGGCGCATAAGGGATGTGATTGGTTAAACAACCAATCACATCAATTGAAGCATTCTGTCGGTGACAACGAAGCAACCGACTCGTCGGGGAAATTCGTTTTCCCGCCGCGTCGGCGCTGTACGTGGCAACTTTTGCGTGATTGACGGTGGATGTACCTGGACAGCCGAAAAACACGGCTCCGGCACGAATCTGTAATAGCGTGAGTTCAGCCTACACTCTCGTTACAAGTCTGATCAATCAGTGGACACTTGTAAAAAAACGCTGGAAAATCAGCCAATACTTAAAAAAAAAACCTGAAGAATCAGCCAACACAATTATATGTCTGGGAAATCAGCGTCCAGACCCTAAATCAGCCTTTTTTCGCTGACTTCTGAGGCCCTGACCACTGCGTCGACCTGACCGAAAGGTAATTTGTGTGCCGTCCACGCTCACCGCACCATGCGGAGATAACTACTACAACGGGAGCTAGACTACGGGCTAGGCACGTAAAAAAATGAAAGAAGCAAAATGAACGCAGAACGCGTTATAGATCCGGCGACTAGCGGTGTAGAAGGCAGACCTGAGGTGTTGCAAACGAGTACGAGCAGTAGCAGGGAAGCGTTCATTTTTGGTAAGGTGGACTTCATCGGAATGTATGTCGTGATACTTTCGCTGGGGTTAGGGCATTAGTAGTCAAAGCCCCATACCTGTATATGCAGGCGCAGTTTCCTTCTTAGGCCGCGGTTACGCGGCAAGCATCCCGTTGGCAACCTAGTCTGACAATTAAGGACCGTTGTTGCTAATGGGTGGCTCACGGACCTTTCAGGCCCTTCTCCTTATCCCGACTGATGACAATCAGCTCTATCCGCTCACGTCGGATGAGCTGCCACGTGTCCTCCTCCCAGTGGGAGGCCGCCCTCTTCTTTCCTACAACCTCGAGCTCCTCGAATCGTGCAACATTCAATCCGTTTTACTCGTCATCGTCGGTGCTGACTCAGCAGCCGCGTCCCGAATCTCCGGCTGGGTAGCTCAAAATTTTCACGAACGGCTGCCCGGCCTCGAGATTGCCGTCGTCTCCGAAGCCGTCGGATCTGCCGATGCGCTTCGGAGCATCTTCCACCGCATCGCCGACGTCCACGATCTCCTCGTTCTCTTCGCCGACGTCCTGACAGACGTCCCGTTAGGCTCCGTCGCCGCCGCTCATCGGCGGGAAGACGCCGCACTGACGATCGTCTTTAACGACCGAGATGGTTTAGCCGGCGGATCAGACGGCGCCGCCGGCGGTACGGGGAGCGGAGGGGACGCCAGGTCGGGGGACAAGGGGAAGAAAGGAGGAGCCAGCGGAGGCGGAAGCGGCGGGAAAAGCGGCGGGGGCGGTAAAGCCGGCGGGAAGAGCAGCGCTGTCAGTCCGGATTTAGTCGGATTGGACGCGTCAGGGAAGCACCTCTTAATCTTTCAACCAGGCTCTAACTCCGCTGGCAGCGCGCCACGTCAGACTGCGCTTCGTCGGGCCCTCCTAGAGACGGAGGGGCGCGTGGACTTGTGCACGGATTTAGTCGACTCTCGAGTTTACGCGTTTCGTCGAATCGCTCTCCAGAATTTCCTCGCGTCGCAGTCTGGCTTGTCCTGCCTGCGACGCGACGTCCTGCCGGCCTTCGTGCGCGATCTGCAGCCGCGCCGGCAGCTGCTCCTCGCGTCGCTCCTCCCGCCGTCTGCCGGCCTGCCTTTCGCCGCGGCAGCCGGCGCCGCCGCAGGGCTCGTGTCGCCTGCAGCCTCCGCCGCGGCCGCATCTGGCGGCGGGGTTAGCGGATCCAGGGACGTGCTAGGAACTGGCAGAGGGGGAAGCGTCGGAGGAGACGCTGAGGGACGCGGTGGCGGCGGCGGCGGCGGGGGGGGAGGTTCTTTCAGCAGCAGCAGTGGCGACGGTGGGAGTGGCATCAGCAACGGTGGTGGTGGCGCCGGTGGCAGCGGCATAGGAAGAGGAACAGCAGCAGCAGCAGGAGGAGGAGGAGGAGGATTAGGAGGAAGCGGAGGGATTATGCTTGCTAACAGTGGAAGCGTAGGGGATCTCGAACTCATTAGCAGCAGCGGAAGCGGCAGCGGCGGCAGCAGCATTGGCAGCAGCGGCAGTAGGGCGTTCGTGGCAAAGAAAGGAACGTTTTGGTTCTCGGTAGACAGCCTGCAATCTTACGTTGAGCTTAACCATGCCATGGCTTCCCGCCCAGGCATCCTCACTCCCTTTCCCGCCTCTGCCTCAGGCGCTGATTCCGCCGTTGCCTCCGCCGCTGCTGCTGCAGCAGGCGCAGGGGGGGGTGGCGCGGGGGGAGGGGGCGCTGCGGCCGGGAAAGCAGCTGCCGCAGTCCACGAGAGTGTGAGTCTTGCTGCTAAGGCGACGATAGGGCCGCATTGTATGGTGGGCGAGGGAACTTCGGTGGGGGAGAAGAGCAGCATCAAGCGGTCTATCATCGGGCGGCATTGCCGGATTGGAGCGCATGTGAAGCTGGTGAACTCCGTGATTATGGACCATGTGACTATAGGCGATGGGTGCCTGGTGCAGGGGTCGGTGGTGAGCAGCAATGTGCTTATGCAGGAGCGCACGAGCGTGGTTGACTGTTATGTGGGGCCGGGATTCGTGGTGGGTAAGGATTATAAGGAGAGTGAGCTGTCGAAGAAACCCAAGGCTCAGGCGGCTCAGAGTTAGCTGCACTGCACTGCGATGATTCCTGGGGCGTCTCAGAATTGAAACATGTGTGCCTCGGGGTTTGTGGTGGGTAAGGATTAGAAGGAGAGTGAGCTGTCGAAGAAACCCAAGGCTCAGGGTCAGAGTTAAGTGCGATGCGATGGGTCTTGGATCCTGAGGCGCAGCAGGCCTCTGGGAGAGGATTCGTTGTGTTGTGTGTGGCAATCTGGCAAAGGGTTATCAGGAGAGTGAGCAGTCTGAGATGAGAAGCCCCGAGCTCAGGGTTGGAGGTTGCTGTGGGAGTGGGTTTGTCAGGAGAGTGGTGCGTGTTGTTGTGATGGTACTGGCAGCAGTTTGCGGTAGTGGTGCTGGCTGCTGCTTTGTGTTGTTGGGGGAAGTCGTGGGATGGGACGGGACAGTTGTGGTATGGTACGGTATTTTTTGGGTAGGAACGAGCTTTATGAAGTGGTTATTCGGTTACTATATGCGGCCTGTAAGCAATGCCATTTCAGCTGACCAACTGCCGTGCCGTGTGGTAAGCCTTGATTCTGCACTGCATGCCTGCCTTCTTTCCTGATACCGTACATGTACCCTTGTCATGTCACATAACAACTGCGTTTGCACAGTGCGTGTTCAGCCGGTACCGTATGTTGTGACGGTGCCGTATTCCTGGTCTGCAGTAGGTCTGTGCCTCCCAAGTAAAATGCAAGAACAACATGCATCGAAACTGGTACGTACCAGGTGCATAACAAATAAAATCAAATGAAAAAATCAGCAGCAGCAGTTCGTGATGCAGCCACGAAACCATGGGAGCAGCAAAACAGAATCAGGAACAGAAACAAAAACTAGCAAGAGGCTATTATACACCTGCAAGCTCACAGCAATCGTGGATTCTGACACTCATGCTGTGAAACAGGCAGGACAATCTCCGGTGAATCCTGTGAAAATTATTACCCGGTGCTGTATGATCCTGCGAAGACAAAGTGGCTGTGATGTGAGTCAGGAAGAGTAGGTATGGAGCCTGCCTGAAGTAAACAGCAGGGGAGTCCTGACCGGACTGAAAGCCGGAGTTGTGGAGTATGGGAGTATGGGAGCCGCAGCAGAAAGCAATAGTGAAGCGCAGCAGCATCAGCAACGATTGAGCTGTCCCGTCCCGGACCTCCTTCATACGGTACCCCCTTCCCCTCCCTCGCACCCCCCACCTCTCCCCCCCTCCTCCCAGTTCCCTCCTTAGCAGCAAGCACTCGGCCCAACACACCCATACAGCACAGCTGTTGCTGTTTACACTTCATGGTTCAACAACACCCTCCTCCACTCCCTCAACCTCAAATCAGGGTTCAAATCTGCTGCTGCACGCCCCGACCAAACCACTTGCTTTGCTGATCGTAGCCATTCCGAATCGTCCAGCCGTCTCAAATCACTCTACAGCTCACCTCACCACCCCACCAGCCCGGCTCTACTTCTTAATCGGCTGCACGGCAAGCACCGACCGCACCACGTGCCCAGCCCCATCCTCCCAAAACAAGCTCCCGAACGAAAACTCCTGCGACGCCTTCGTCACAGTAAACTGCACGGTGAAATTCGCCGTCTTGCCTGCTCCCACCACCAGCACCAGCGGCTTAACCACCACCTTCACATTCGCCGGGGGGACCACCCGAGCAGTATACGTCGAGCTCACACCGGCAACGTTCCTCACGAAACGAATCACCGTAACCGTTTTCTGCAGGCGTGAGACGGAGATTGTCGGGCGGTTGAGGTTATACCCTGCGATCGCTTTCAACCCCTTGGGGGCCGCCTTACCCAGTCCCAGACTCTTCATCGAAACCTTCCCTCCCTGCCCGCTGAGAAAGGAAAGGTAATCCGTGTAGCTCGCGTCGAACGTCAACCCCGGGTCGAGCACCCCCGCAGGATTCACGTGCCCAGCGCCCATATCCCACGGGGTAGCCGGCTGGCCGATGCTATTGAGAATCGGGCCTCCCGCGGTGTTGCTTGTGCTGGCCGTGGTGAGAATGGCCGACATGACCTGCGCGGGAGACCACTCTGGGTGCGCCTGGACAATCAGCGCTGCGATCCCCGCCACGTGAGGCGTAGCCATGGATGTTCCCGAGAGGAGGGAAAACACCGGAATGGATTTGGTCGCCAGGCTGGCGCCGGCGGAAGCGGCCCAGAGGTTGGAGCCCGGGGCGATGATGTCTGGCTTGAGGATGTCGTTGGTGGGGTAGGGCTTGCGCGGCGTGGACGAGGGCTCCGCCACCGGACCCGTGGAGGAGAAGTAGGCCACTGCGGGCGCCGGCGCGGCTGTCACTGCCGGCTCCGCTGCCACTGCTAGTGTGGCTGTCGGGCTGGGTGGTGGGTCGGGTTGGGGAATCATAACAGAGAGTCGATGGGGGAGGGAGGGAGGGGAGGGGAGGGGAGGGGAGGGAAGAGTTGAGGCGTTAGAAAAACACAGAAAAAAAACTGCTGGTGGTGGTGGCTCGGTTTCTACAGTTCCCTCTCCCGGCACCCCCTCCCCCCCCATGCGCGCGCGCACGCGCACACACACACACACACACACACACCTGCACACACACACACACACACACACACACACACCTGCACACACACACACACACACACCTGCACACACACACACACACACACACACCTGCACACACACACACACACACACACACAACTGCACACACACACACACCTGCACACACACACACACACACACACACACACACACCTGCACACCTACTCCCCTTCTCTCCCCAATCCCACCTCCCTTCCCCCCTGGCACCCCGTACAACCCCCTCTCCTTCCCCTCCAGCCCTCTCGCCTGGGGTCGGCTTGAAGGTAATCCATGATGTCCCCAGCCTGCTCCAGAGACACGTGCAGAGTCGGAATGGTGGCCCCCTCCACCAGCTCCACCGTGGTCGTGGGGCTGCCCGCCACGTTCGCCAGCACCATCGTGAACCCCCTCTCCCCTACTCCCCCGCTGCACACACACTCTCTTTCCCCCAAGCCCCCCCAAACAGCGAGTATCAGGCTGCCTTTAGGCACTCCCTTCCCGCCACCGCCACCCTCCCCAATCCTCACCTGGGATCGCTGTCAAGGTAATCCATGATATCCCCCGCCTGCTCGAGCGAAACATGGAGAGTGGGGATGGTGGCCCCCTCCACCAGCTCCACCGTGGTCGTGGGGCTGCCCGCCACGTTCGCCAGCACCATGGCCTTGCCGCCCAGCGAGGCCACGACGGAGACCTTGGAGAGGATGGAGGTGACTCCGCGGTCGCACACGACTACTTTGTTGGCGACTTTGGCGGGGTCCAGCATTGTGTCGAAACACTGCTGCGCCTGTTGGGGGATCAGAAGTGGGGGGCGGGTGAGGGAGGGGCAGGTAGGGAGGGAGATGGGGCGTCAGAAGGGGTGGAGGGATGGAAGGGGTGGAGTTAGAGGATGGATGGTGGTGACGCTGTGGCGGGGGGGCAGGGGCAGGGGCAGGGGCAGGGGCAGGGGCAGGGGCAGGGGCAGGGGCAGGGGCAGGGGCAGGGGCAGGGGCAGGGGCAGGGGCAGGGGCAGGGGCAGGGGCAGGGGCAGGGGCAGGGGCAGGGGCAGGGGCAGGGGCAGGGGCAGGGGCAGGGGCAGGGGCAGGGGCAGGGGCAGGGGCAGGGGCAGGGGCAGGGGCAGGGGCAGGGGCAGGGGCACGGGCAGGGGCACGGGGCAGGGGCACGGGCAGGGGCACGGGCAGGGGCACGGGCAGGGGCACGGGCACGGGCAGGGGCAGGGGCACGGGCACGGGCACGGGCAGGGGCACGGGCACGGGCAGGGGCAGGGGCACGGGCACGGGCACGGGCAGGGGCACGGGCACGGGCAGGGGCAGGGGCACGGGCACGGGCACGGGCAGGGGCACGGGCACGGGCAGGGGCAGGGGCACGGGCACGGGCACGGGCAGGGGCACGGGCACGGGCAGGGGCACGGGCACGGGCAGGGGCACGGGCAGGGGCACGGGCAGGGGCACGGGCAGGGGCACGGGCACGGGCAGGGGCAGGGGCACGGGCACGGGCACGGGCAGGGGCACGGGCACGGGCAGGGGCAGGGGCACGGGCACGGGCACGGGCAGGGGCACGGGCACGGGCAGGGGCAGGGGCACGGGCAGGGGCACGGGCAGGGGCACGGGCACGGGCAGGGGCAGGGGCACGGGCACGGGCACGGGCAGGGGCACGGGCACGGGCAGGGGCAGGGGCACGGGCAGGGGCACGGGCAGGGGCACGGGCACGGGCAGGGGCAGGGGCACGGGCACGGGCACGGGCAGGGGCACGGGCACGGGCAGGGGCAGGGGCACGGGCACGGGCACGGGCAGGGGCACGGGCACGGGCAGGGGCAGGGGCACGGGCACGGGCACGGGCAGGGGCACGGGCACGGGCAGGGGCACGGGCACGGGCAGGGGCACGGGCAGGGGCACGGGCACGGGCAGGGGCACGGGCACGGGCAGGGGCACGGGCAGGGGCAGGGGCACGGGCACGGGCACGGGGCACGGGCACGGGCACGGGCAGGGGCACGGGCACGGGCAGGGCAGGGCAGGGGCACGGGCACGGGCACGGGCAGGGGCAGGGGCACGGGCAGGGGCAGGGGCACGGGCAGGGGCACGGGCAGGGGCACGGGCACGGGCAGGGGCACGGGCACGGGCAGGGGCACGGGCAGGGGCAGGGGCACGGGCACGGGCACGGGCAGGGGCACGGGCACGGGCACGGGCAGGGGCACGGGCACGGGCACGGGCACGGGCACGGGCAGGGGCACGGGCACGGGCACGGGCAGGGGCACGGGCACGGGCACGGGCACGGGCAGGGGCACGGGCACGGGCACGGGCAGGGGCACGGGCACGGGCACGGGCACGGGCACGGGCAGGGGCACGGGCACGGGCACGGGCAGGGGCACGGGCACGGGCAGGGGCACGGGCACGGGCAGGGGCAGGGGCACGGGCAGGGGCACGGGCAGGGGCACGGGCACGGGCAGGGGCAGGGGCACGGGCACGGGGCACGGGCAGGGGCACGGGCACGGGCACGGGCAGGGGCACGGGCACGGGCAGGGGCAGGGGCACGGGCACGGGCACGGGCAGGGGCACGGGCACGGGCAGGGGCAGGGGCACGGGCACGGGCACGGGCAGGGGCACGGGCACGGGCAGGGGCACGGGCACGGGCAGGGGCACGGGCAGGGCAGGGCACGGGCACGGGGCACGGGCACGGGCAGGGGCACGGGCAGGGGCAGGGGCACGGGCACGGGCACGGGCAGGGGCACGGGCACGGGCACGGGCAGGGGCACGGGCACGGGCAGGGGCAGGGGCACGGGCACGGGCACGGGCAGGGGCACGGGCACGGGCAGGGGCAGGGCACGGGCAGGGGCACGGGCAGGGGCAGGGGCACGGGCACGGGGCACGGGCACGGGCAGGGGCACGGGCACGGGCAGAAGGGCAGGGGCACGGGCACGGGGCACGGGCACGGGCACGGGCAGGGGCACGGGCACGGGCACGGGCAGGGGCACGGGCACGGGCACGGGCACGGGGCACGGGCACGGGCACGGGCACGGGCAGGGGCACGGGCACGGGCACGGGCAGGGGCACGGGCACGGGCACGGGCACGGGCAGGGGCACGGGCACGGGCACGGGCAGGGGCACGGGCACGGGCACGGGCACGGGCACGGGCACGGGCACGGGCACGGGCAGGGGCACGGGCACGGGCACGGGCACGGGCACGGGCAGGGGCACGGGCACGGGCACGGGCAGGGGCACGGGCACGGGCAGGGGCACGGGCACGGGCAGGGGCAGGGGCACGGGCAGGGGCACGGGCAGGGGCACGGGCACGGGCAGGGGCAGGGGCACGGGCACGGGCACGGGCAGGGGCACGGGCACGGGCAGGGGCAGGGGCACGGGCACGGGCACGGGCAGGGGCACGGGCACGGGCAGGGGCAGGGGCACGGGCACGGGCACGGGCAGGGGCACGGGCACGGGCAGGGGCACGGGCACGGGCAGGGGCACGGGCAGGGGCACGGGCACGGGCAGGGGCACGGGCAGGGGCAGGGGCACGGGCACGGGCACGGGCAGGGGCACGGGCACGGGCACGGGCAGGGGCACGGGCACGGGCAGGGGCAGGGGCACGGGCACGGGCACGGGCAGGGGCAGGGGCACGGGCAGGGGCAGGGGCACGGGCAGGGGCACGGGCAGGGGCACGGGCACGGGCAGGGGCACGGGCACGGGCAGGGGCACGGGCAGGGGCAGGGGCACGGGCACGGGCACGGGCAGGGGCACGGGCACGGGCACGGGCAGGGGCACGGGCACGGGCACGGGCACGGGCACGGGCAGGGGCACGGGCACGGGCACGGGCAGGGGCACGGGCACGGGCACGGGCACGGGCAGGGGCACGGGCACGGGCACGGGCAGGGGCACGGGCACGGGCACGGGCACGGGCACGGGCAGGGGCACGGGCACGGGCACGGGCACGGGCACGGGCACGGGCACGGGCACGGGCACGGGCACGGGCACGGGCACGGGCACGGGCACGGGCACGGGCACGGGCACGGGCACGGGCACATGAAGGCAATCCTGTTGGCGACTGTACCATGGTGCTGCATTGTTGCGTCTAAACACTCCACTGTCGCACATTCTGATCCCGCCACTCACTCACTCACGCCCCCCTTGCCCCTCACCTTGCCCACGTCTCCCCCATCCACCACAGCTTTTCCGCCTGAAGTGATCCCCAGCCCTGCTGCTGTCTCCGCCGTGCCCCCCACGCCCACGCCCTTGATCGCCACGCCGTTCCCCAGCAGCAGCTGCGTGCGGTACTGCCGGCCTATGGTGCTGATGGGGGGAGAGAAGTGGGGGGTTGAGAATGGGGCGGAGAAAGGATGTGACCGTATGAGTGGGGAAGAGTGCACATGCCTACCCCCATGCCCACCCCCATGCCCACCCCCACGCCCAGCCCCATGCCCACCCCCATGCCCACGCCCACGCCCTTGATCGCCACGCCGTTCCCCAGCAGCAGCTGCGTGCGGTACTGCCGGCCAATGGTGCTGTGGGGGTGGGGGGGAGACGGATGGGTAAGGTAGAGACGGGAGGGGGAGTGAGTAAGGTTGTGAGTGGGGAAGAGAGAACACGCCCACGCCCACGCCCTTGATCGCCGCTCCGTTCCCCAGCAGCAGCTCCGTTCCCCAGCAGCAGCTGCTTGCAGTACTGCCGGCCAATGGTGCTGTGGGGGAGGAGAAGTGGGGGGATGGTTTGGACACATGAAGTATATGTGTTGGTAGGTACACAGGACACTCCATGTATGCACTGTATGGTATGCATTATACAAGTACATGCATGCATTTTCTGGACGCACTCTATGCATGTATTGAGTGTATGCATGGAGTATGCATGCACTGCACTGTCCACGTGCATGGCGCCAACAGTGAGGAAGAAGGGGGATCCGTTGGTGAGAGAGCGTGGGAAGGGGGTGAAGCAGGAGGGGGATGAAACAGAAGGGGGGAGGAAGGGCAAGCAAGGCGGGGAAGAGGGGAGTGGGGAGAGGGGGAGAGGGGGAGAGGGGAGCGTACCTGGCGCCGACAGTGAGGTAGAAGGGCGAGACGTTGGTGAGCGAGCGGTAGTTGTAGTAGGTCGGGGGAGGGCCCTCGTTGCCCCCCGCCATCACCAGCACCACGTTCGCCTGGAGAAGGGCGCATAGAGGGCCGGAGAGAGAAGGGGAAGCAGGGAGGAGAAGGGGTAGAGAGAGGACGGAGGAGCGCGAGAGAGGGAGATAGGGAGTGAGGAAGAGGGGAGGAGGGGTGGAGGAGATGTAAGAGAGGAATGAAGAAGGAGAGAACGAGGAACAAAGAGATGAGTGGAGGAGGAGCGGAGAATAAGGGAGGAGGGGTGATAGAGCGAAGAGCGTGGGACACATGCAGTGTGAGCGACTTGTACAGACGGAGTCCGTCTAACGGACCAGGTTGACCTGAGTCACCCACACACACACCCCCCTCAGCGCACCAGGCGGCCATGTCATGCACCATGCACGCGGCACACCACACAATCTTCTCAACTGCACCCACACCACACACCCCACAGCGCACCCACCTGCACCACGGTTCCCCGACCATCCACCCACCCACCCACCCAGCCACCCACCCACCCATCCACCCACCCAACCACCCATCCACCCACCCACCCATGCACGCACCACACATCCCAGCCCTTCCACTCTGCACACACACACACAGACCCCTAAACACCCACTTGCCCCCCCCACCCAGCCGCACCACACCCACCTGCACCGCATTCAGCAGCGAGCCATCGCTGAAATAAGTCGCCTCCATGCCCAGATCACCAAACGACATGCTGAGCACATCCACACCGTCCGCCACAGCAGCATCAACGGCTGCCTCTATATCCACCGTCTCCCCCGCCGCGCTCCCATCCGCACTCTTCCAGAGAGCTTTGTAGATGGCGAGGCGCGCCCTGGGAGCCATGCCGCTGGCTGCTCCGAAGGTGGCGCCGGTGGGGCCCGTGACCATCACCCCGTTGTTGCCCGCTGCCGCTCTGGTGGTGGGAAAGGGGTATGTGGGGGGGAGGTGGGGAGACGGGTGGAGGGGATGGGCGGAAAGGAAGGAGGGGGAGTGGGGAAGTGACTTGTGTGATCTGATGCTATGACAACGATATTGTGGGGCTCAGGCAAATTCGACATCCCATCCGCGCTCATTTCAGAGAGCTTTGTAGATGGCGAGGCGCGCCCTGGGAGCCATGCCGCTGGCTGCTCCGAAGGTGGCGCCGGTGGGGCCCGTGACCATCACCCCGTTGTTGCCCGCTGCCGCTCTGGTGGGAGGCGAGGGGAAGGGAAGGGGCAGAGAAGGGAGGGATGAGGGGTGGGTAGGTTTGTTTTGGGATGCTTGTCTCATGAGAGTGGCACTTTCCTCAATTGGTGCTCAATTGTTGCCCTCTGCCACTCCCTCCCGCCCTCTTTCTCTCCCTTTCCCCCCCATCCCCCCTTCCCTTCCCCCCTCCCTCCCCCCTACCTCCCTCCCTCCCTCCCTCCCTCCCTCCCTCCCTCCCTCCCTCCCTCACTCCCTTTCAAGGACCTTACCCGGCGCACCAGGTGCCCTAGTCTTACCCGGCACACCAGGAGCCATGACCAGCGGCGTCGCGGGCGCTCCAGTACTCAACAGTGGAGTCCACGCCGCAGCAGGCGAAGAAGCGTGCGCCGATGATCTTGCGCCCGCACTGCCGGAAGTCCTTGGTCGCCTCGCACCGCCCCGCCCACCGCGTTGGGGGCGCGGCGTATGGTTGGGTGCCCTGAGGGGTGAGGAGAGGGGGAGGTGAGGGGGAGGTGAGGGGAGGGGTGGGGGGGAAGGGGAAGTGAGGGGAGAATGGAGGGAGGGTGGAGGAAGAAAGCGAGTGAGGGTGAGGGGGAGTGAGGGAGAGTGGAGGGAGAGTAGAGGGAAATGCGAGAGGAGGGAACAGGAGGGAGGATGGAGAGTGGGGACAAACAGTGGCGCATCCAACCACACTGAACCACACACTTGCGCCCAGCAGCACACTCCACTCCACCCCACCAGAATCACCACCGCCAACAAAGAACACACCCAACCACACCCCAAATCACCCCATCGCACCGCACCGCGCCCCACTCCACCGCATTCCACCGCACTGCACCTGCACAGCACTCACATTGTCGCTGAAGGAGGGGTGTTCGGGCCAGATCCCGCTGTCAATCACTCCAATAATCACGTCCTCCCCCGCGCTCTGCACGCCGCCATTCGCGGGCCACAGGGTTCCGGGGAGGTTGAGGAACGCGGGCGAGTGCGTTGTGGACGCTACTATGCGCCGACTCGCGCGCACTGCCGCCACTTGCGGGTGCCGCCGCAGCTGCTGCACCTGCGACAGCGTCAGCCGCGCCGCGAAGCCGTTGCTCACGTACTTGTAGCTGTGGGGGAAGGGGACGGGGAAGGGGACGGGGACGGGGACGGGGACGGGGACGGGAAGGGGAAGGAGGACGGGGAGGCGGAAAGGGAAGGGGCGGGGGAGGGGGAGGGGGAAGGAAACGGGGAAGAGGAGGAGTGGGGGAGGGGGAGGGGATGGGAAGGGGGAGAGGGGGGGGGAGGGGAAGGTGAGAGAAGGGAGTGCGAGTCGGAAGGGAGAGTAGCGGGATTTAGGAAGGAAAGTTGGAGTAAGCGGTAGGAAAAGACGGAGGGAGACTCATGAACGTGGGGCACAGACAGAGGAGGATAGCGGGAGAAAGGAAAGGAATGACTTTCTGTGAGCAGCCCAGAAGCTAAGCAGAGAAAGGGAAAGACTTCACCCCTCCACCGCGGACGATAGGGGTTGAAGTCTTTCACCGCGGGCCGCACCTGTAGAGTACTTTTGACATGGGCAGCTTGACGTCCTCGGCGACCTTTCTCTGAACCTGTCCGAGAAACTTGGCGAAGTCGCGCAGCGGCCCTCGCCGCATCTGCTGCCGCGCGCGGCGCGCGGCTCCGCGCATCCCCGCCGCGAAGCCCGAGAGCGCGTCGGAGACCCCCGCGGTGGCGGGATAGCCGGCGATTCCGCCGCGATACAGGGAGACGGGCGGCGCGGTGTTGAGGTAGACTTTATAGAGGTAAGTGGAGGACGACGATTGCGCGGATTGCGGCGGGGAGAAAGAGATAATATCGTCTGAAGTTGGGAGGGTGAACGTGCGCGGAGGGACGAGTGACGGGGAGGGAGGGAGGGAGGGAAGATGGAAGGAACGGGGAACGGGAGGAGGGAAGGAGGTGACGTAGAATTGAGAACAACGAAGGCTGCCAAGGAGGTGAGGCAAGGGGGAAAGAAGTTAAGGAGGCGAGAAGGTAGGTGACAAAGAGGAGGTGGAACTAAAGGGATGTGTGTTGTCTTGAGTGCTGGCTACGACATGAGAGCAAGGCGAAGGAGGGGGAACGCTGAACCGGAAGAGGGGAAGGGGATGTACGAAGGTTGAAGAGAGGGGCGGCAGGTAAGGGGAATGCAGGCGGGGAATGGGGACGGAAAATGCAAGCAGGGAGCGGCGGCGGAGTAATGCAAGAGGTAGGGGATGAGAAAGGGAGGGGGGGGGGGGGGGGGAGGGGAAGGGAAGGGGATGGGGACGGAAAATGCAAGTGGGGAGCGGCGGCGGGGTAATGCAAGGGGATGGGGATGAGAAAGGGAGAGGGGGGGGGAGAAAGAGGGGTAAGCGGGAAGGGAAGGGGGAAGGGGGGCGGTACCTTGTTGGGATACAACGGTGCGCAGCCGTACAAGCGAGCAGGCGAGGAGGAGCGGAAGGAGGAGGGGCAGCGAGGCAAGGAAAGGAGCCTGACGGCGAGAGCGGTGCGCGCCCGGCGGCGATGGAGGTGCCATGACGGGCGGTTCGAGGTCGAATTCTAAGAACCTATCGGGCTGGCCCAGGAAACGAATTTTACGGACGGATTTGACGGACGAATCCAGAGGAAGATGAGTGGAACCGCGCGGATGGAACAAAAGCGCCGACGCAACGCAATGCAGTCGATGGAAGGAGGCGATAAGGGAGCCGGAGCGTTAAGCAGCACGAATGGACGCAGCGGCTCGGGCTCGAGAGGAGGTGAATCGGCTGGGGATGCGGCGCGGGAATAGAGGGTGAGTAACGAATGGCGACGAAGGGCGTACGGCGGTGAAGTGTAAGACAAGGAGAAATGCAGAGGGAGGTTGACGAATTTCGTTCGCTATGCTTAGGGGAGTTCAACGAAACTTGCTTTCGCACTGACTGGTAACTAGGTGAGCGAGTGCGCTGACTGGCGGACGTCCATCAGAGTCGCTATCGCCGACAAGCATGGCTTCGAGGCATCGGAAAAGGGAGCAGCTAAGGGAATTTGTCCAGTTTAGGAAGGCAGCTAAGGGAACAGCTTTTCCTTGGATGGATGGCAGTTGTTGGATGTACGCGATGAGAAAGGTCCTGCCCTCCTTGATGTACACTAAAGCGCAGCGACCCGAATAGAGGGGATGTCTTGTTACGCTTGGATTGAACAACGACCAGGGGTGTGGTCGACGCCTTCCAGCCGCATTTGACGGAGGATTGGCGTGGGGTGGGAAGCGGGGTGAGGGGGAGTCGAGAGGAGTACCGCGCGCGGACGGGCGAGGAGGGATGGGATGGGAAACAGCAGTGTGGAGCTATGGACTGAAGCTGATGCCGTGCCATGCCATGCCCTGGCGGCGGCGGCGAAGCCCATGGCGAAGGCTGTGTCCTCCTGTGCACAGAACGCTGTCTGTAGAATCAGCGGGAAGAATCTTTCGTGACGTATGCAGAATGCTGCACATGCCACGTAGAGTCACGCGCTGTTCGGCTGTACCTCCTGCTTCTTTTCCATTTCCTCTCCCCTCTCCTCTCCTCTCCTCCCGCCACCCTCAGTCTAGACCAGACAGATATATAGCCATGTGGATTGCACCAAAAACAGATGTGTTGCCTGCGGTGCGGCCTCCAGCAGGTTGCAGCTGGCATGACAAACCATTTCATTCCCCTTCCCTACCGCCTGCCCTCCGTCCCCCAACCCACCCACCCCTCCTGCCATATTCCCCCCTCCCACATCCCCTCCCTCCCCGAACTCCCCCCACGCCCCCCACTCCCCACACTCCCCCCCAACCCGAGGATATTCGCCAAAAACGCAAATGAGCGCTCAACCGAACCCAACCCAACCGAACCCAAACCAAATTAGACGTACACGTGTTACACGTCCCCAGTTGAACCTGCTTTTCTTCCTGCGCCTCCGCCCTACAGTACCAGCCCCCTTTCCCCCGCCTACTCGTCCTGTCGCTTTCAGTATTGTCATTTTCTGCATTTCCTTTCCCCCTCTCAGCCACACTTCACTCTCTTCCCCCTCTCTGTTTCTGGTCAGCCCAGCCATTCTTTTTCAGCTGGGAAGAAATGGACGTTGCGGTGAGGTGTAGTCCTCCTATTACTCCCCACCCCAAAACGCTATCTTCACGGTTAAATAAATTATAAAAGTCGCGTACACCACGTGTTTTACAGTTCCGTACGGTAAGCGACTGTACACGTGTGTGTGTGTGGGGAGGGGACGAAAAGGCTGCTCTGCTCCAGCCAGTCCTGCGTTGAATTGATACCTTCACAGCCAGGCAGCGCCGCCGCCACCAACCTCCCAGCTGTCATGTCAGGTGAAATTTGCTAGCCTGGAGCCGACCCTCTGAGGCCTTGAGGCTCAGGTGGTTTGAAGGTGCTCAAATGTCACCTGAGTACACAGTATCACTTTTCTCATTATATCGCAATAACTACAAGCTTTTGAATAAATATATTGAATATTATAATACAAGCTTTGGGTACTACAAACTAGTCAAAGCAACACATCCTACTTTTTCTTCAGCACCATACGTGATTGCACAGCCAGCACAGAACGCACCTTGTGCCCTAACTCATCCTCCCATGTCAAGCTGCCAAAGGCAAACTTTGTGGAAGGCTTGACAATCAACACAGCCACTGTGAACGTCTTGGATTCTCCAGGGTTCACAGAGAACTGGCTTGGAGTAACGGTAACTTGTACCCCAGCAGGGAGTACCACCTTGGCTTTATACGTCGACGCACTTGTCGCAACATTGATCACCGTCCTTACGGCAACCCGTGTGCCGTTCACCCGAGAAAACACTAACCCCGGAAGGTTCAAATTGTATGCTGGAGTGGGAGTCACCACCTCCTTAGGCCACAACACCGAGGTCCTATACTTGCTTTGCCCGGCCAGAAAATTCATGTAGTCCTGCAGTCCCGCATTATACGTGAGCCCAGGATCAACCAGCCTCGCAGCACTCACTGTCCCCGCTCCCATTTCCCAGGGCGTTGCGACCACCCCCTTGTCTGTCGTGATCGGCTTCCCGGCGTCGTTATTCGGGTTCGCAGTCGTCTGTATCGCAGACATGACCTGCGCGGGCGTCCACGTGGGGAATTTCTGCACGAGCAGCGCAGCTACCCCCGCAACAAGCGGCGTGGCCATAGAGGTTCCCGAGAGGAGATCAAACGCTGGCTTCATTTTGTCATTGATATCACCGGCTACTGCCGACCAGAGCTCGACACCTGGACTGAGGATGTCCGGCTTTAGGATATCGTTGATGGGGCCTCCCGGGACGGAGTCAGCCATGGGGTCTAGCGGAGGGCCTGTAGAGGAGAAGGCTGCTACGGCGGGCGGGGAGATGGTAGACTTGCCGAATACACAGTCAGCTGCCATGGCTGCTGTAGGCCTGAGTGGGTGACACACAGCAGAAGAGCGCGGGAGCACAGGAGGAAAAAAGTGAGCCTGAAGCTGGTGGATCACAGCAGGGCGCACCTGCAGGGAACCCAAAGCGAGGGAATTCAAACAAGTATAAAGTTCTCTGATCCAAATCCAGACCTAGCTCTCCAGCCTCTTTCTCCCAGCTTCTTGTCCCACTCATGCGCAAAGCACTGAAACCACTGCCACACAGGCCAGCAACCATCATCACCACTTACTGCTTCGTCTTCTTGATATATGTCCGGATTACTGCACCCTGCGCAGCTGTCAGATGCACCGTGGGGATTGTGGCCTCTGACACTGACGAATAAACGTCCGAGCTCCCAGTAGGGTCATTCACAAAAATAACCCCCAGGCCGCCCGCCGCCGCCACCACGCGAGCCTTCTCGAACAAATACACTCCGCCTCGCAAGCACATCACAATCTTGCCAGCTACTTTAGCCGGGTCCAGGCAGCCTGGAAAGCACAGCTCTGCTTCGTCTAGGCTCGCCACGTCCCCAGGTGCAGACCGGCCGTCGATCAACGGGAGTCCCTTGGCGGTTACTGCATTACCGCCAAGGCCAGCGCCTAGAACCACCGCCTTGTTTCCGAGGGTAATCTGCGTCTGGTATTGCTGCGCCAGGTTGCCAGCCCCCACAGTGAGGTACCATGGTGAGTAATTATACAGAGTGCGGTACGCCGAGTAGCCGGGCGGGGGGCCTGCATTCCCAGCGGCGAAAATCGGCACGACGCCGACCTGATTCGCGCGGAGGTAGATCCGGTCGTCAAAGTAGCTTGTGCCTACATCACTGACATACGACATGCTGAGCACATCAACGCCATCCTCCACGGCTTGATTCACCGCTGCTTCGATGTCCGCTTGCTCTGCAATGAGCGAGCCGTCTTTTTGCGTCCAGAAGACCTTGTACACGGCGATTCGCGCGCGCGGCGCCATGCCTGAGACGGTGCCGAAGCGCTTGCCTGAGCTGGCCACGACGGGGACGTTGCTGTTGCCTGCCGATGCGCTGGAATCGGAAGAGGGGGGAAAGGCGACGGGGGAGAGGGGATCCACATGGGAGTATTAAAAGATGGATGGATTTAGGAATACACCAAGAAAGAAGGAAAGGAAGCAGTCAGCATGCTACGAGTGAGGAGCATACACATGAGCACGCCACGGTTGAGCGCGGTAATGGGCGCTACAGCGACCACGAACAGTGAGCACGGTAGAAGGGAAAGCAGTGGGTGGCCGTCACGTCATACGTACCCAGCACACCAGGAGCCATGGCCGTCCGCGTCGCGCGGCGAGCGGTAGTCGACCACGGTGTTGAGCTGGCGGTCGTTGTTGTCGAACGAGTCGATAAAGAAGCGCGCTCCGATCACCTTGCCGTTGCACGCGGGGAAGTCCGCCGACGCGTCGCACTTGCCCTGCCACGTGGCTGGTGGCGGGCCGTACGGGTTCGTGTCCTGAAGAGGTGGTTGAGAGGGGTTGGGGAGAAGGGCGGAGAACGGGAAGAAGAGGGGGTGGTGGGACGGGGTGAGGGGGAGAGGGCGGAGAGGGAATGTTGCATAGATTGTCCGGTGAAAGGAAAGCGACTGCATGGGTCAAGAAGTTAAGATGCTGCTGCATGTTGCTGGAAAACGGGGGGGTTCGGAAACATTTGTGGAACGGCAGAACGAGTGCCGATGATGACGATAACTGCGGTGACGTTTAGGTCAAAGCAGCAAGGAGGTGGGAGCGCTAGTGGCGGTTCGTCTGGACCAAAGCAGCCGGCTTGTCCGGCTTGCGATGCGAAGTAGTAGCCATGCTAGTCATGCCAGTAATGCTATACGCGCGAAACGTGCTCACATTAGCATCGCTGATCGACTGGTGCTCGGGCCGGTGTATCGCAGTCTTTCAACCCCCTTCCCCCCCCCCCACCACCCACGCAAACAAACACCACACTCTAACCACACCCCATCGCACCCCACTTCACTGCACTGCACTCACATTGTCGCTGAACGAGGGGTGCTCGGGCCAGATCCCACTGTCGATCACCCCGATTATCACGTCCTCTCCCGCGCTCTCCTCTCCACCGTTTGCCGCCCACAGCTCCAGCGGCAACTTTAATAGGCTGTCCTGTGAAGTCTTCGTCTTTCCGCTCCCCCCACCCCCGCCGCCCCTATCCGCGGGCTTCCCCGTAGGCGCGGGCGGCGGGGACTTTCCCATAGGCGAGAGTGTCCCCCCGGGCGTGGGCGTCCCCACAGGCAGGGGCTTCCCCCCAGGCGCGGGCTTCCCCGCCGCGGTTGCTATTCCCGCTGATTCTGTGCTTCCCTCTGCGGCGGGGCTGAACAAGCGGCGAGCTGGGGAGGACACCTGCCCCGCGGGGCGGACGGGGAGGCTCCGCCGCACTTCCGCCACGGCGGCGGTTTTCCGCAGCTGGTCGACTTGCGCGGCCGTTAGCACTGCAGCGAATCCGTTGCTCAAATACTTGTAGCTGTGCCGAGCGAGGGAGTCGGGGGATTGGGGGGGGAGAGGGTGTGGGAGAGAGATGAAATGAGATGTTTACGATAACGGGATCAGGGGGGACTGGGGGGAAGAGGGAACGAGGGCGTGGATTGGAGAGAGATAATCAACCAAATAAACATGTGGAGGGCGGCGGAAAGAACGGAGGAGTGTTGGGGTGGGACGGGAAAAGGGTGGGACGGATATTGGAGAAGCAAAGTTGACATCAACGACAGGAGTGGAGAATAAACGAGCAGAGGCAGCGCGAGGAGTCGGAAGCGGCGGGAGGTATCAGATCAGATTCCGCACTTCGACGCGCCAGCCGTCGCACTTCGACGCGACGGCGGGGGACGGATCAGATAACATAATACTTGCTTTAGAGAATTCTCGAAAGAGTTGTTAGATGCAACTATCGACTCCTAAACTCAAAGCAGCGGCCGCCGCCTCACCTGTACAGCATTTTGTTCGTCGGGATTCCCGCTTTCTTCGCGACGGCCGCCTGCGCTTCCCCCAGAAGCCGAGCAAAAGCCTGCACGTGCGGAAGGCGGAGGTTCGGGTTCCGCCGGCGGAACCACCGGCGCAGCGATTTGCGCATGTTGCGCAACCCTGACGCCGCCGCGGTGGCCTTCACGGCGGCGGCGGCGGCGGCGGTGGTGGCGGCGAAAGGAGGTATTGTCGCGGGGAAACCGGCGATTCCGCCGCGATACGCGGAGATTGGCGGAAGGTCGCGCAACCGCACGATGTACACAGCGGTGGGCTCCGCCGCTGGCGGAGGGGGAAGGAGAACGGGATGAGGGGGAGAGAGGGAAAGAATGCGACACGTTCGGGAGACAGGAACGACAACAAATTCTCGGAAGCGGAAAAAGAGATGCCGCGGAAAGGTGGAGGGAGCGGCCGAGTCGGTGTGCGAGTGAGGTGGCAACTGGATGACGGCGCTGATTACGCGAACAGCGTACAAAACCGTCTTCCCGGCGGCTTGATGAAATATCCATCTCCTCGTGATTGGCCTTCCTAGTATCACGCATGTCCTCCCGAAAGACGTACCTCCATACGAAACAGCGACGGTGACGATAGAGAGCCACGTGACGAGGGCACACCGCTGCGCCAGCCGCGCCGCGTAAATGGGGCACTTCATTGAATAAAGAGGCGCTGGCTTCAGGAAGAACCGCCAAACGTAGTACTAAGCTCTAACTTCAATGTCTATCTAAGATCTCAAACAAGGTATCAGAAGGAAGCGCTGCCGCGACGGCGCGACTCGCAGCGCCTGCCACTGGCAGCGGTCGAGATCGCGTGTCGCGCTCAAGTAGTTATCTAGAAGAATGCGAATATCGGACTGTCCTTTGCTGCCTTGCGACTGCTGTCACCTCTGCGAACGGTCCTTATTTTGTGGAGTCCGCCGCCGCTGATGACGTAGATTTCAAAACTAACGGTAGCGATGACTATGTTACTGGTACAGCCTTTTTAGCCAACGCGCTCAGGCGAGAAGGAATTCGTCCTGTATATTAAGCCGTGCCAATGCGGCGCGACTCGGTGTGGGAGTTGTAGGCTTGCTTGAACCGCATATAAGTTATTAATCGCAAATTTAGCCTTTATTGTGAGTGGCGCTGCGGAGAACGGACTGAACTCGCCGAATTTGGCTGGTCTTCGGAGTAGCGCTGCGACGTGCGCTTGGTAGTGGGAGCTTTATCAAACAGGTCCAGGGTGGATCTGGGAGCTGAGAGCCGGGACAAGGTAGGAAACTGGCGGGAAATGCGGCGGAGAGAAACGGGAGAAAGGGCGATACTGGGCAGGGCTAACTAATGTACAATACTGACAGCGGAAAAATAGATATGGTTGCTGCGTTTAGCTGGTGGAAGGAACGGTGGTGATTAAACGAGATTCGTCAGGTGACTCGAGAATTAATCTGGTTGAGAGGATGTTTTGTGTCCAGGAAGTAGCTGAAGGGCAGCCGCATGTGCAAGAAGGGAACACCGAGCGCATCGATTTCATGTGAAAGTCATGCGAGTATGGGATGGGATGGGATGGGATGGGATGGATGGATTACGGAGGTTGAACTATGCGCGGTGTGCAGATCGGTGCAGGGGGGTAAATCTGACCGAGGCGCGGTATGCCGATGTGAACAGAAGCGTTCTGTACGAAATCTTATTTCAAGGGGTGGCGGCGGGTGGGATTGTGGAGGAAAAGTTGAAAGGGAGGGAAGGGGAGGGGGGGGGAAGGTTTGATTGGCGTGGTCTGAAGTTCCCTTGCCCCTACCTCCCTCCCTCCCTCCCTCCCTTCTGCCTCCCTCCCTCCCCCTCCCTCCCTCATGATCAAAACACCGCAACAATGAGTCAAGGGTTTCCACAGTTCTGCAGATGGAAGCCTTTCGCACGAGTTGTCGGGAAAAAACACCCTTTTCGTGATTATGTACAGTGATTGTAAAAACGATTACGGGTTATGGTATGAGCAATGAGTTGCCGAACAAGGATTCTAAAATCGACTTTAGTCTCGGATGTAAATGTCCCCCTCTTGTTGGGACTGCCCGGTGTAAAGTCTTGGGACAATTGCCTGAAAGTCGTGGAGAGCTCTATGTGGCCAGGAATGAAGTTCACCAGCAGTTTCATGTCTCTCACTCAACCTCAGCTTCAGGTACGTGTTGACGTTTGCAGTCTCCGCTTGACATGCCAGCAAGCTTCGTTGGTATACACGAACTGGTTCGTAAACTACTGCCAAATCTCAGGGGAACGAAATTTGCAGCAGAGAGAGTACAAAAGCAGCAACCTTTGGTGTTGTGTGTGATTTCGCAATTGCTGGTTCAAAGTAACTTTAGCCAAGACTTGACTGTACGTCCATCAGACGATGTGAGCTGCTGAGGGCGTGGTGCTTTTGATTCAAAGTTCAGAAAACTGGTCGAACTTGAGCTGGTTACTGGCTTCGTGAATGTCGCAATAGCTTTCGCATGGAACCAGGTCTGCGTTCGAATATTGACCTGGTAAGTCATGTAACCACACAGTCAGTCGAACGCATGTATGCACTGCTATAGTGTAATAACATTCACCAAAAAAAAAAAAAAAAAAAAAAAAAAAAAAAAAAAAAAAAAAAAAAAAAAAAAAAAACGCATGTTCGAACTTGGATTCGAAGCGTGGTTTCGAACGTGGTCATTTCTGCGTATATTCAGCAGCTTCACGAACTTGACGAATCGTGACGACATCGACGATGAGTATTTCGACAACTACGCCAGAGCCGCGTAGACTACATCGGGTAACCTACATTTGTCTCGCGACTCGGAGAAGGTCGAATCTCGTTTTTCGAACCTCGATGGTCACCTTTTGACTTAGCAGAAATCGGCCCCGCGACTCGAATTTCACCAAATCAACTTCTCGACCTCACAATCGAACTTAAAAAAAGGGTGAAAATCGATTGAAAAAAAGCAAACTTAGGGACTTGTGCCAAAAGCACCGCGCTAGCTGTGTCAAGCTTGCTCTCTTGTACTGTAATAGACTGTCTTGTTGTACAAAGCTCAGCGGTTTTCACAGTCCGTCTTGCTTCTACAGTCTACACTACAGACTCCAACCAAGCCACCTCTGTGTTGGCCGACGGCAGACCTGAAGCGAACAAGGGATAGCTCGTGAGAAGCATCAACTGTCGGTAATTCTCTCATTGCCCTAAACATCCTCCATGATTCGTACAACCTTAGTAAACAAGATCAGGCATGATGAATATATCACAAAATAAAATTCTGAAGTGCCAGCGCTTTCTCCAACATGATAAAACCTCATTTTCTCTTCCATGTATTATAGATAGCATCAGATAATTTTTCTTATTGCCATAGTTTGATTAACTATATCAAACTAGTTTGATCATCATAATAAAGAAATTTTGATAACAAAGAACATACTTAATTTTTTCGATCCACCATTAAACTATTTTTTGTTGCATACAAAAAATTTTGAACCAAGTTTGATATCTCAAAAAACTTAAAGAAAGTCTTAAATTATCACCCAAATATGGTCGACTTTATAGCGTAGTCGACCGTTGACCTGACCGAAGGGGAAAAAAACTATCGCAATTAGCATGATATCCAAAAGAAGCATAAACACAAACATCATATGGCAAGATATTTAAGGTTCATGCCATGCATATATTTTCCGAATAGATTTTATTTTGCCCTATATATATTATATATTATGTAGTGTCGTCTATCCTTTGAGATATATAAATAAACTTGCTAGAATCAAAGTTTACTAGTACGGTTTGGGCATTGTGGTGTTCTCATGCCTCTTAGTCAACCATACATTTTGAAAAAATATTTGAAACAAGAATCAAACAAAAAATATATAAACTCTTATCAATCACAAAATATATCATCATGTGTATATAGTGCTATATAAGGAGAGGCAGCATTTCAAATTTTATACTTTTATGCTATATGGTACTTTATCTATACTAGTACCAAGATCAAAGTGATATGTAGGTTGATACCATTACTCAGATTTTGGAGTGTGATGATTTGTGGAAAAAGTATTCATGAAATTCCAGCTTGGAAAAATAATATTTTCCTATGTTTGGTTTGATTTGTGTATTTCCTTTTGCACATCACCCGCAGGCGCCAATGTACGATTCCTTGCCTACCCTGTAATGAAGGGATGGCCGGCCTATCGCAACCCAGCATTTCAATGTTCTTTCAAGATTCTCTCCTGAGGGGCAGCTTCAATGCACGCTGACGCGAAATGATGTGTGGTGGAGCGTGATGTAAAGAGATCCATGCTGCCAAACCTCCCCCGCTGAGTAAATAGAATCTTGGCCTTCTCCCCATTACTGTATCGAAATTTCAACGTGCACAGCACATCCCCCCTCTCTCGTCCCCCCCCCCCCTCCCCCCTACTCCACTCCCTCCCACCCGCCCCTACACTCCCCGTTGACGGCGCGCCGGCGTATGAGCTGGTTCCAGCTTCTGGACATAGGTGCCTGACATTGAGACCCCACCAACTCCCACATGCAACCACAAGGTTGACTCATTTCTTCCACTGAGGGCACCACAGGGGTGTGCAAACATTTTCCCGAACACATGGTGGACTTCAAAATACTCCAGCACTCTTCGCAAGCTTTCGCGAAAGACCATAGAAATGTAACACCTGGTCGATCAATCTTACCTCATGGGAACATCTGGGCGAGGTAACGTGAATTCGCGTAAACCAATCGAAATGGTGTTCACTACTGGCGGGGGTGACACCTAAGGGGGCTCCTCCCCCTTCATGTAGGCCGCGCTGCATTCCCGGAGAAGTTCGAACTTCCGTACACATGCTCTAAGGGCGTGTCCCATGAGTTCATTTGGGGGAAAATCGTAATTGTTACGTGGCTTTGACAAAGCAGCGAAGTGTACACACTGACGAAAAAAAAAACGCAGCGCGTCAGCACTGCGCCAAACGAAGTTGCACCATGCGGACTCATCACCCCGCCCATGCAAAATTCGTATCGCGAATCACATTCGACATGTTTCGCGAACGGTAACACGGGCCGGTTGCGAATGGACACTGCCAAAATTGGCCGTTCGTCTTTTCTGGGCGAATTCTGAGAGTGGGGATTAGGGTTACGCAGACCTCTTCGAGGTGGTGGTACGTACCTTGGAAGCTGTTTTTGAACGCTATTTATACGAACCTTTTGACGCATTCAGCGCGTCAATGTCGTGCGTCATTGAAGACACTTGTCTACAGTAGTCAAATATAAAGGGTTACAATGCCGAAAACAGGGTTACAGCGGGCAACATGAACTGTAAACGAACTCATGGGACACGCCCTAAGAGGGTGTTTCAGATGTCTGAGTCCACGTGGGTACGGCTCGGACCTGATGTATAACCCCTTAGGGTTTCCTATATGTATCCTGCTGCTTTCTAGTGAACCCCCTTCTTCTTCATTCTAAACTTCTCTACCTCCTAATCTTTTCATGATGGACCAGCTCAAGAACCAGCGCGTGAACCAGGGCGGACCGGGACCAGGATGTGGGGCTTGTAAACCCGTTATACCTTTCGAATGGCACTAAAGCGGTGCCATTTATTTGGCCCTCCAGACCAGTCCGCGCCTGGTCCGTAAACAGTGGGTGGGGAACATTTGTTTTGGCGAAATTTCTTGTTTTGTAAGTTTCGCGTGAGATTTTTGT